CGGGGGCACTAGCTGTTCGATTTCGGCATTCTTTTGTGGGGTACCTGACTGCTTGAGGTTTAGCAATGAAAGCCAGGTTCCACTATGTACGTATGGTTTAATTTACACGGGTTATTTACACAAGGTTAGGAAATATATACAGATGGAATGCACATTGAAAAGAAGCACGAAATTAATATGAAATTGAATATTGTACAGAATCGAGAGAAAATTGTTGCACTGACACTATTGTTATTCTCTTTGACGGCTCGTTGCCAGGTTGCAGTTTTGGCTGCGCGCGCCGGTCATGCGACTCGCGCTTGGCCGCACGTGACGTCATGTAGAGCACGGAGTTTGTACTCAGCTGGGTGCTCCACATTATTCCCCCCCTGAGACCGTTACTACGGGCGATAAAAGTTGGGGAAGTGTACATGGCGTCCGGATCTCGTGACTGTGGACTTCTGGCTGATGACGGGTGAAGATGATGTAGATGAAGGATTTGGATCACCGCCATTTGGGTCAGCCAAAATGTATGCGGGCTTGAGTCGGTCAATCGAAACGGTTGTAGTTCTATTATTTACTTGAATTTTGAAAGCTTTTTCGCCTCTTGCCAAAACTTTATGCGGGCCTGTATACACTGGCTGTAAAGGCCGTCTGACAGCATCGTCTCTCAGGAAAACGAATTCAGATGTAGCCAAGTCTTTAAAGATGAAGATTGACTTCTTGTCATGATGCGAAGCTGACGTAGGCTTAAGTTTTGCTGTCAGGGCACGCAATCTGGCGACATAATCTGACGGGTCGGGCAGGGCGTCTTGCTGAGGGTTGAAGAACTCGTTGGGGAGGCGTAGTGGCTCTCCGTACAGCAGTTCTGCAGGTGACGCTTGTAGATCACGCTTCCAGGCACTGCGTATTCCTAGCAGTACAAGTGGAAGGGACTCTGTCCAGTTCTGGTCGGCGTGGCACATGATCGACGACTTCAGTTGGCGGTGGAAACGCTCTATGATGCCGTTACAGGCAGGGTGGTATGCCGTCGTTGTTTTGTGCTGAGAACCGGTTAATGCCGTCAGGGCTTTGAATAGGTGCGATTCGAATTGTCTGCCTCTGTCAGTGGTGATTGTTGCAGGACATCCGTAGCGGGAAATCCAGCAGGCTACCAGACCTTTGGCTGTGGATTCAGCGGACATGTCGGTGAGTGGCATAACCTCAGGCCAACGCGTGAATCTATCGATGGCTGTGAGAGCATAGCGATATCCGTTTGAGATTGGAAGTGGACCGACTAGATCGATGTGAATGTGCAGGAATCTTGCAGGAGGCAGTGAGTATGTACCAGTTGGAGATGAAACATGACGGGTGACTTTGGATCGCTGACAAGCAAGACAGTTTTTGGCCCATTCTCGGCAGTCCTTGCGTATGCCGGGCCAGACGAACCGTTGAGCTATGAGCTGTGCAGACGTGTTCGCTCCAGGGTGACTCAAAGAGTGCATTGCGTTAAACACCTGGCGTCTCATCGACTGCACGACGAAGGGTCGTGGTAGAGACGTGCTCACGTCGCAGTATATTGGCAAGTTGCTGCCGGTCATGTTGATCTTCTTGATTTTCAGGGAACTTCCATGCTGCAGAAGTTGAGAAAGCTCATCATCAGTGTTCTGTGCTTTGGCGAGTGCATCATAATCAATGGCGTTAACTTCGTCGATCCGGGATAGAGTGTCGGCGACTACGTTATTCTGGCCAGAGATGTGATGGATATCTGTAGTGAATTGAGCGATGTAATCGAGGTATCGAAATTGACGAGGTGAACAATGATCCTTGTTTGTTTTGAACGCGTGAGTCAATGGCTTGTGATCGGTATAGATGCGGAATGGACGGGCTTCAAGCATGTGGCGAAAGTACTGGATGGACTTGTAAATGGCAAGGAGCTCACGGTCATACGGGCTGTACTTTTTCTGCGCCGGTGTGAGTTTGCGGGAGAAAAAGGATAACGGTTGCCATGAGTTGTCTTGATATTGCTGCAGTACTCCGCCAATCGCTGAGTCAGAAGCGTCGGTTACGAGTGCCATCTTGGCGTTGCAGTCTGGATGTGCAAGCATGGCAGCTTGACATAAGCCATCTTTGCATGCCTGAAAGGCGTGTCTTTCTTTTTCAGTGAAGTTAACAGGCTGTGAGTTTTTGCGCGCACCCTTCAGTATTTCGTTGAGAGGGGCTTGAAGCTTTGCGGATTGTGGAATGAAGCGATGATAAAAGTTGTACATGCCAAGGAATCTCCGGAGTTCTCTCACGGTTTTGGGTTCCGGGAAAGTCTTGATGGCTTCGACTTTGTGTTCTAAGGGTGTGATGCCTTTTGCCGAAACGTGGTAACCGAGGAAAGTTATCTCGTTTACGCCAAACTCGCATTTGGCGGCATTGATGATCACGCCGTATTGATCAAGGCGTCCGAAGAGTTGGCGCAGGTGGGCTTCATGGGTCTGACGATCTGGCGAGAATATCAGGATGTCGTCTAAGTAGCCGTAGCAAAAGTCAAGGCCCCTAGTGACTTCGTCGATGAACCGTTGGAAGGTTTGTGCTGCGTTCCGCAGGCCGAAAGTCATCATAGGGAACTCGAATAGACCGAAGGGCGTAGAGATGGCGGTCTTCGGTATATCTGGGCCATAGACGGGTATCTGATTGTATGCCATCACGTCGGGGTCACCAGAATGTGGGGTACCTGACTGCTTGAGGTTTAGCAATGAAAGCCAGGTTCCACTATGTACACGTATGGTTTAATTTACACGGGTTATTTACACAAGGTTAGGAAATATATACAGATGGAATGCACATTGAAAAGAAGCACGAAATTAATATGAAATTGAATATTGTACAGAATCGAGAGAAAATTGTTGCACTGACACTATTGTTATTCTCTTTGACGGCTCGTTGCCAGGTTGCAGTTTTGGCTGCGCGCGCCGGTCATGCGACTCGCGCTTGGCCGCACGTGACGTCATGTAGAGCACGGAGTTTGTACTCAGCTGGGTGCTCCACACTTTCATAGAAATAGTCACATCTTTATAACATGTCCATTGTTCCAATATTCAACTTCGTCTGGTTGTATGTCTATTCAGTGATTCGTAAGACAACAGAAATAATTCAAATAATAAATACATTGAAATGTTATTTACATTTTGAGAAAGAGCTTTTCTGAGAAAGGACCTTTTCTGAATAAAGGGTAAACTTAGGTATATTTCGTTGTCTCAAACAATTTTCAAATCAATCAAATTATAATTGATAATACTCAAATGTTTTGATATCGAAATTCATCATCGGCTTCCTGCCCTTATTCCAAATAAGTTGGGGTGGCACAACATTTGTTAAAACATACAATCAGTAGCAAAAGGATTTGGCTATGTTTTATGACCAAAATTCAAAATTCAATCATTTATTTCTTAGTAAGAATTTACAAGATTCTTTTTAAGAAAGTCACATTCTAATCAAATTCTAAAAAAGAAAAATTTGAAAAGCAAAATTTTCTCTTTTTTTAACAATTTGTGTTACTACTCAGAACGCGGCTTAGACGAGATAAAAAAAACCAAGGCGCTGCCTCGGGGCTGGCCAGGCTAACCACACAGCATGTAACTTTATGCCTCAATGCCTTGTATAATGACCTGCTGCCTACGCGATGTCAACCCTCTTTGAGAATGCTATTGTTGGTAATATCACCGCCATGCGGTTGACCATGGTCGACAGATATTCAGCCGAGGTCAAAACTATACGTCGCCTTTTACGAAACACCCTGAGTGGAGTAGGGGTGGCAATATTCTTGACCGCTACCACACGGCTATAACTAGAGTATCGAAACTATCGACTACTAAACCACTGAAGCAGTTCGTTAAGTGAGACAGCATTCAGTAATAAATTCACCCTAACTGATGCAGTGCCGAATTGGTATGCGTAGGAGATCCAACAGCGAACGATCTGACTAATTGATACTAGCATTCTGCTGCCTAATATACCTAACTGTTTCCATGATCTACTAGTCTGATAGTCTCAAGATTCAAAAGTACTAGGTCCGATTCTAGGAGGACACATAGTTTTGATATTGTCATCTCTCAATTTATCGCTTTTATGAGATCGTTCTCGGTCTGGTTAAGATTCATATTAAAATCACCCTTATTGATGCACACTGATACTAGGACTCCGTTCTCTAAAGTTGCTCCCATATTACGTCGTCAACATTTCGTAAATTGACAAACAATAAGGCATAGGAGCTAGAGCTATTTCTATCATCATCATGTCGCTTTACTACTACTTTCTTTCATATTTTGACCCATGTACCTTGGATTGCCGTGTGATGCCGGCTTAGAATAGCATCACCCCATTTCTTTCCTGTGGGTGTCGTAAGAAGCGACTAAAGGACTCGAGGGTATCATGTGTATTGCAATTTTAGGCGACAGGCTGACAACCTGTCACTATAGCGATACACGACAATAGCTAAAACGGCCCTCAAATATGTGTCAGACGTGGCGATAACGACCGTACTTTTACGGCCGTTGACGCTCTGCTTACCCCGCAAGGGATAAAGGCGTGATGTATGTATGTATGTATGTATGTATGTATGTACCTTGGAGAAATTTGTACAGTTTCATGAGTACCGTGACCTCCTTTTGGCTTGTTATATACTTATTTTTATTACCTCCTATTTATAACTCAATATATCCAAATGTTTAACCGACATGGTATCGAGTAAAATGCCCTCAGCTAAAACATCGTTGAAAATTGTAAAATCACTTCAGTACAGCGAACAGCGATTCTCAAAATGCTCTCAAAGTGCATCAGTATGCGGGGGGCGAACTCCGAACCGAACGAGCTCGCTAATTGATAGAAGGAAGCGCGATGCCAGGGATGTACTATTTTATATATAGTACATCCGGGGTAGGCAGAGCATAAGCGGCTGTAAAATCGGTCATTTACACCAAGTTTATTGGGATTGTAATGCACTCACAGTGCTATATTATTCTCACAAGTGAAAATAAGAAATAGAAAAGATAACGTACATCGACCGGGGATCGAACCCGGGCCGCATGGGTAAACGCCCCACCGCTCTGCCACTGAGCTATCAATGCACGGCCGATGGACGCCAAATTTTCTATCTCTTGATGCTCGTCTCGTAGTAAGTTCTTAATACTTACTATAGATGTCGCTAGATCGTCGCTTGGAGACGAGCATCAAGAGATAGAAAATTTGGCGTCCATCGGCCGTGCATCGATAGCTCAGTGGCAGAGCGGTGGGGCGTTTACCCATGCGGCCCGGATTCGATCCCCGGTCGATGTACGTCATCTTTTCTATTTCTTATTTTCACTTGTGAGAATAATATAGCACTGTGAGTGCATTACAATCCCAATAGATTGATTAAGCAAGCTTCATCATATGGTTTGAATTCCACTCATAATGTGGACTAACCATGTAGTAAGTTCTAAATACTTACTATAGATGTCGCTGGATCGTCACTTGGAGACGAGCATCAAGAGATAGAAAATTTGGCGTCCATCGGCCGTGCATCGATAGCTCAGTGGCAGAGCGGTGGGGCGTTTACCCATGCGGCCCGGGTTCGATCCCCGGTCGATGTACGTCATCTTTTCTATTTCTTATTTACACCAAGTTTGACAAAAGTTTGAGAGTCATTCATATATAACTGTGTACCACTAGAGTGACAGGCTGTCAGACTATAATAACATAATTATTAGTCACCTTTCTGAATTTTGAAGGTATGTTTTTGAAACTTTGGTATACTGCTATTCTAAGTAGATTACATTACGTCATACATTTAAGCAGATAAACTAAACATATTTATAAACAGCAAGCTATAACCTTAACTCTCATAGTTTATGATAGTAAATAATATCTTTGGCACAAAATAGGGAGTATACAAAAGGATCATTCGACCCTATTTAGAATTTTGACGATTGTCACTTCTTACATATCCAGGGTTGCTAGATTCACGAAATACAACTCAAAATGTGATACAAGAACTTAATATGATTCTGTGCCTTAATGTGACGTTCGTAGCGACCATCTGCCTAGTTACCTTGAGTTCTAATCATCGCTAGTAATGAGTGAGCCATCTGTAAAGAAAGGCACCCCGCGCGCAGTCTCCCTAATTTGTGGCTATGGCCCTTGTCTGTTTTCTGTCAAACAGTCATGTTTTATTTATTCCCTGCGAAATATTCTCCCACAAAACCCGGTCCCCGGCCGACCTAGAGGGTATCGACAATCAATTAGTCCAGGCTCGAATTTAATTGCACCGCTCTAAGTGTGAACGCGAGATGCATTTTAATACACCCCTCGACTCGCTCGAGTGCGGCCCTGGGGGCTTATTTTTAAACCAGGGATTTGAATTTGCAGGCGAAAGTATACCGTGTGGTGTTGCTTAGAATAGCATCAACCCATATCTTTCCCGAAGGTGTCATAAGAAACGACCAAGGGATTTGAGAGCAGATGTGTATTGCAATTTTAGGTGACAGGCTGACAACTTGTCCCTTATGGTGGTGATACACGGTCTTCCGTATGACTCTCAAACTTTTGTCATTACCCGTTTAAGCTCTGCCTTCCTCGCACGGGATATAGGCGTTATGTATGTATGTATGTAAGTATGCTATGAATTATTTAGCCACAGGCCGTATCAAACTTTTCTTCAAACATTACTTCGTAGAGAAAGAATTCGAGCAGTAGAATGTGCGATACGAGTGGTTCGATTCATTATTACAGTGCATGGATAATTGGGTTTCTTCAGACTCAAAAATAGGTCGCCTGGAGTGCACGATTGTTCCAGTTGTTTTATATTTTTTCGAGTCAGATTTTTAATCAAGATTTAATTAAGATTTATGTTTGGAATATTAAGCGGACGGTCCATCGAATTCTGCTGGGACTTAAAAGGGTTAACTCTGAGTTTATACAGGTTGGTTAAATAAATTGAATTTGAGCGAATAATTTTGTGCATACTTACAGTACTGCTGTTCGAATAGGCCATATCTGACAGCTGTCAAAATAATTTTTGTGCTGTGATGTCATATAAAACAAAGGTTTATTTTTATTTGTTATCATATCTCATAGTTTGGGCTTGACAGCTGTCAAATATGGCGTATTCCAACGGCCGTACCTACTTTAGGTAAAAAGTAAAACTTTTTATTTCAATTCAAATCTCTTAAAGTTTAGTTATTTTCACGAAACTTTTCTTCGATATATTAAATAAAAAAAATAACCTTCCATTTCATACATTTCCATGCATTTTATGCTAAAACAATACTTAATTGTACAATTTGACTAAACTTAGCAATTAAACTTCAGCAACATTCACATACTTGTAAACCCGAAAATCATTAACGATAACCCCAAACCGACGAAAGCCAGGATCAATTGGAACATTCCGGATTCAGACCCAAGTGCCCGGGTTCGATCCCCGGTCTACAAACTTGCCATACAAGCCTATAATTTGTAGCTCAGGAGTTGTGACTATTTGCTAAAGGAATAAGGATGTCAACGTGTGAGTTAGTGAGTTTATTCAAATGAGTTTGTGACTCGTAGTAAATATATCAAATAATCATAAAATAATATGTAAAGTACTACTAAATAAATACATAAAATGTAAAGTAGAAAGAGTGTAGGTACATAACATGTAAATGATGAAAAATAAATATTTCCAGAACAGATTTCCAGGCTCATAGGAATCGGTTTTTTGCGTGAAAGTGTGCCATTAGCAATATAGAATTTGTAATTATTGCAAATATATTTAGTAGATGGTCCAGCTAACATTACATATTGACTGAGTAAACTCAGTGGTAAAATTAGAATATACTAAGGGTAACGGCCGTAAAAGCGGTCGTCATCGCCAAATCTGTCAAAATATTTGAAGGTCATAATTCACTACAGTAACAGGTTAGCCCATAAAGCTTTAGGTTCAGTATAGCTCCAGAATTGCCACTTTTCAAATTCAATGCCAACCTTCAACTAAATCGAGTATTAACGTTTATACCCATCCCTGAAATGTCACTCTGCAGGCTTATTTGCGGAGGCTGAACCATCGGGTGGTCGTTAGCTAGCCACCTATCTATATTGGTTTCTATTAGTAAGTGTTTGGGTTCGGCCCTTGGCTGGGCTTAAATGGGTGTGGAATTTTTTATGAGCCTAATCTGGCTCGTGTTTGGCCAATCTTGTGGGCTGTGTGTCGAGGGTAATGTGTTAATAAGGCAGATTGGTGAAAGCCAAATGAAGTACTTACAATTTAGCGCCTCGACTTATCATTTTTTATATGGATTTTATTTCTAACGACATAATTTTAATGTAGATTTTAGTTTTAATCAATTAATATGTGTAATTATTGAGTTTGTGGACGATGATGATGTACCTAATTAACAGTAATACTAACAAAAAGCTTTATTCCGATTGATCAGTTTTGTACAAGAGAAGAACGGTATTCTAGGGCTCAGGTTCAAATTATGATTGTATTCTTTTTACGATGATGATGGTTAGGTTAGTAATAAGACGACGTAGGCAGGCACGTAGGCTAGATAAGTTAATGTATTCCATTGGCAACACCCATTTAAGATTAACTTATACAAGTTTTTCTAAGTATTTTTATAAAAACCAGTATAATTTGATCCCTTAAAATAGGTAGGTGGATTTTCTGGTTCATTTTCTCGTTCATGTAACAGTGAGTATCAATGTGTGAACAAAAGGTGTCTTTTTCACTTCACCAACCGTTGGCTATCGGGCTGATGACGCGTGACTGAATTGAGACTATCACTCACTTTTACAGCGGCAGTTCGAGTCTACCAACGATTTCATTTAACTCTTGTGACGTCATTGCACTTTTATTCAATCGATTTATGGAGATAAGGAGAAAGAGGTTTTCAAAATTTATCCTCCATTACGTGGAGGAAATCTTTTGAATCAAAACACAACACTGCAGCTGCCGATCGAAAATCGTTTTTGTGTTTTGATCATCAACAGTGTGTTATTCAGCTTATAAGAAGATCAGAATGAAAGTATCATAAAATTGTTGTAAATCTAGAATTATAAAATGACGTTGTAAAAAAAAACATATCAATACACAAACCTCCAAAAAAGCTTTATTAAAACTGACCACTGAATCAAGTTGATACCCACACTTGATCCGTCGTTCAATGGAGCTAGTGATCCGTGATCTCGTGTTTGTCTCCATTCGCACAATAAATTTACCGATTTATTGGGGGAGAGAAAAATGTGGGAAAAAGTAGGGAATTCGGAGCAGTTGGGCGTACTGTATTGACCATGCGTATGCTCGCAAATGATTAAAAAGCTGTATTAAAGAGTGTCAATACCGTGTGATGTCGGCTTGGAATAGCATCACCCCATTTCTTTTCTGAGGGCGTCGTAAAAAGCGATTGAGGGACTCTAGGGTTTCATGTGTATTGCAATTTTAGGCAACAGGCTGACAACCTGTCACTATGGCGATACACTGAAATAGCTAAAACGGTCCTTAAATACACAGACGTGGCGTTTCTGATCGTATTTTTTCGGCCGTTGACGCTCTGCCTACCCTGTAAGGGATAAAGGCGTGAATAACGTATGTATTCATTTAAAAGTATGCATATTTTTTCCCAAAACTTTGTTTAATCGCTTAGTCACTTAAAAGAATACGTTTTTCATAACACACTTGCGATAAGTCGTTATATCATAATTCCATATAATTCAAATCAATTTGTTCGAAAAACATTTGGATGATGTTATCAGTTATGCATTTATTTTTGTAAATCGTAAAGCGCTAAGACCTTTACAAACCCTTTTATCTTTATTTTGATACCGAATTTTATTCACCTTATTTGATTCAAAAGGATATCTCCTCTTCCAGTTTTCAAATACGCTTTCAGATTTCAGTGTCGTAATGATTTTAAAAACAGAACACTAGTTTTAGTTCCACAAGCCCCAGTTTCTCCGAAACTACAAACACGCTAATGCACTCAAACATATTGGGCCATAACCCCTTAGCTAACGAATAGGGCACTTGCCCATGACGAGCTAATTCTCGATTAGTCCCGATTCGATTCGGGCCCATCGTATTTATCGGCGCGATTACCCTGATGGAGAC